TGCTGGTTCGTTTCCATCATGTTTAGAAGTATCATACGATTTTTCCTCGCTGGTAGCCATAATACCTGCAATTCAGAAAAACCAAATTATGAAATGAATGACAAACATATATGAAAAGAAAAACATATAAGTAAGAAATATATAAATAAGAAAAACATATATAAAATTTTATTGAATGAGATAATATGTAATTTTATTGAATGACATAATATGTAATTTTATTGAATGATATAATATGTAATTTTACAAGTACCTTTGTCACTAACATCTCTTTCTTTTCTTTGTTGGAACGTTGTTTACTTGTCTCTTAATAACACGGACGGATGGATTGATCCAAATTCTCTCGTTATGATCATTTCTAATATATGATTCGTCCACTATAATATTCTCATCTTGATCATCTATAATATAAAATTCCTTCTCAACATCAACATCACCCTGATCTCCAATGTTATCATCGATTAATTTGTTGGAAAAAAGAACTATAGACCATTTGGTACTTGTCGGATCAGTGACATAGAACACTTATTTAGCTTGCGTGCCTAGAATAAAAAGCTCATCTTTGTACCCCACCTTATTAAGATCCACTTGCAAAAATCTTGACTTATCCATTTGTATGCCACTATTATTTTCAACCCACTTGCATCCAAAGATAGGAATCTGAAACTTCTCATAATAAAACACCCAAATGCGCTCGATAACTCCAAAATACAACAGATTTGCATATTTGGGGTTTAAGTCCTTCACACTTGAAATGTGCATTGCTTCAGCAAGCACGGTGACACCACTATTTTGCATTTTACTTTTATCATCTTGTTCTTTGGTATAAAATGTGTATCCATTAATTGCATATGCGCTATAAGAAAACAAATGCAAACTTGGACCATATGCTAAACATCTCAACCTTTCTGTTATTGAAGTGGGATCAGAATAAAACTTTGAAAATATATGATCCTTGAACCATGTTATAAAACTTCGATTGTGCTCACGTACTATCCAATTTTCATTTCTATTCAGATTTAAACCTCGGAGAACGTTCTTGTGCATTTCAACATACGGCTCAACCTCAATGTCATTATGCAGAACATACAAATGCACTTGCTCTCGTTCATCCCTTGAAACTGTCACAACTTTATTTCCAATTAATTGTTTTCCTACTATTTTTTCAACAACATGAGATTTTGGGAGGCCAGTGGATTGAACATTGGACAAATATTCAGTACACAACTCAATTGCTTCTTCAACATTGTATCGTTCAACAATACAACCCTCTGGTCGACTTTGATTTTTCACATACCCTTTCAATATTTTCATATAACGTTCAACAGGGTACATCCATCTCATATAAGCTGGTCCACACAATTGTGTCTCTTTCACAAGATGAACAACTAGATGTACCATTATGTCAAAAAATGATGGAGGAAAAAACACTTCAAGCTCACACAAAGTAATAACTATTTCTTTTTGCAATGTTGGTAAGATCGCAGGATCGATCACCTTACTACAAATTGACCTGAAGAAAAAACACAATTTAGTTATTGCGCTTCTCACTTTTTCTTGCAAAATAGAACGTATACCTATTGGTAGAAAGTGTTCCATTATAACATGGAAATCATGTGTCTTTAAACTCTTTAACTTGAGGTCTTTCATAGAAACAAGTCTTCTAATATCTGAAGAGTATCCTTCTGGAACTTTAACTTCACTTAGAAACTTACACAATATCTTTTTCTCCTTTCTAGATAAAGTATAAGCAACAAGTGGTAGATATGTTCAATTTCCTTTCTTCAAGGGTCCTAATTCATTTCTTATTCCCATCGCTACCAAGTCCTTTCTTGCTTTAAGGCCATCCTTAGACTTTCCTTGTATATTGAGTAACCTACCAAGAACACTTTCAAATACATTTTTTTCAATATGCATAACATCAAGAAAATGTCTTACATACAACAACTTCCAATACGGAAACTCAAAAAAAATTGACCTCTTCTTCCACCCACGCGTGACAAGCGTATGTGCAAAAGGCTTGCCAAACTTAGTACTCACATCTTTCACCTTTTCAAAAATTTGTTCACCGGTCAGTGTAGGTGGAGCTCTACCTTGTTCTGAATTTCCATTGAATTCTTTTCTCCATCCACGGTAGTGATGATTAGAATTTAAGAATCGATGATGATCAAGAAAGACATTCTTCTGACCAAATTCTAATTGCGTCTAATCTGTGTTTTCTTCACAAATAGGACACGCATATTGACCTTTAATGTTATACCCCCAATTGATTTTCGTATGCTGGAAAATCATTAATTGTGCCAAACAACATCGCCCTCAAATTGAAACTTTCTTTCCTATATCCATTATAAACCTCCACACCATTCTTCCACAAACTCTTTAAGTCTTCGATTAAAGGTGTCAAGCATACGTCTATGTCATTCCCTGGTTGTTTAGGGCCAGAAATTAACATAGATAACATCATGTACTTACGCTTCATACATAGCCATGGAGGTAGGTTATAAATCATAATAATTACAGGCCATGTGGAATGTGAGATACTTTGTAGACCATGCGGATTCATTCCATCAGTTGATAATGCCAAGCAAAGGTTTCTAGCTTCTTCTCCAAAATTAGGATACTCATTATCAATTTTCATCCACTGTGGTGAATCTGTCGGATGTCGATACTTCCCTTCTATAATTCTATCATATGCATGCCAAGTCAAGTGTTTTGCATCTATTTCACTATGAAACATGCATCTAAATCTCAGAATTATAGGAAAATACCATAAAACTTTTGCTGGTGATAACTTTTTCTTATACCGAGATACACCGCATTTAGGACACTCGTTTAATGATGCATATTCATTTCGAAACAAAATGCAATCATTTGGACAAGCAAGTATCTTATCATAGCTCATGCCAATAGGTCATAACATTTTTTTAGCTTCATAGGTTTGATTGGGAAGAACATTATCCTCCGGAAGCATCTCTTTCATAAGGGCTAATAACTCCATGAAACTTTTACCCGACCATCCATTACCCGCCTTTAAGTTGTACAACTTTAATACCGCAGACAATCTTGTGAAAGTAGTGCAACCTTTATACAACGGTTTCTCTATATCGCTTACCAACCTCTCAAACATATTGGGACAATCTTGAAAATCTTCTTCAAGTGCTTCTGCAATCTCTTCGACTCGATCACAATCATATGTATCCCTGCCGTTGTCATTTGAAGCATATGTCGTATTATCCCCCGGTTCAACATTTTTGTTACTTATCTCACCATTTAATGTCCAAAATGTATAACTCTGATCAATTCCATGTCTCTTTAAATGAGATTCCAACTGAACTGCGTCAATCTAACGCCTATAACAGCAACCTAAGCAAAGACATGTGATCCTACTGGGGTCTTTGGCGTGTTTAACAGAAAACTTAACGAATTTTGATACCCCATTCTCGTACTCTTTTGAAAAACAATAAGAAGACATCCCTTTTTTATCCATACTAATTAAGTAGGCTAAAATAAACTAAGAAAGCTAAACAAAAACAGCGAATACCTGTAGCACCTGTAGAGAAATCACCAACTTCTAGAACTACACAATATGATTCTTAGAAACGATCACAATCTTGCTCTTCACAGGTAACCCTTATAACAAATTCACTAAGTTAGTAGGTATACCTAATATAACCACTTTATCACTTAAGTTCAAGAAATTACTCAACAAAATCACAATATTCAACAAGTAATTCGCGAATATTCAAACATCAACAATATATATTCAAACATCAACAACATTCAACAATTAATTCAAGTATTCATCAACAACAACATTAACGTATATACAAAATTAACAGACATAAATACTTCATTTACTTTCATCAACAACATCAACATCATTAACATCAACACTAACAACATCATCAACAACATTATCATTACTTAATTCAAGTTTCAATCAACAACAAAAACATTAACATATATACAAAATTAATTCATTTACTTTCATCAACAACATCAACATCATAAACATCAACACTAACAACATACACAACAACATTATCGTTACTTAATTCAAGTTTCCATCAACAACAAAAACATTAACATATATACAAAATTAATTCTTTACTTTCATCAACAACAATAACATCATTAACATCACCACTAACAACATACGCAACAACATTATCGTTACTTAATTCAAGTTTCCATCAACAACAAAAACATTAACATATATACAAAATTAATTCATTTGCTTTCATCAACAACATCAACATCATTAACATCAACACTAACAACATCAACAACAACATTATCGTTACTTAATTCAAGTTTCCATCAACAATAAAAACATTAACATATATACAAAATTGACTTACAAAATTATTTCACCAATAACAACAATAACATCAACAACATCAACAACATCAACAATAACAACATCAACAACAACATTCTCGTTACAACATCATCAACATCAAGAACAACAACAACAACAACATTAACATATACATTTACACCAAGAATAAAAACACTTCAATATTAACTTCAATATTGACATATACATTTACATCAAGAACCAAAAAAAATTAAATATTAACTTCATTAAAATAAGTTCTTAAGCCACACTATGAATTGTAAAAGTAACATTTAAAAAAAAACTTCAATACTTTGAAAATGGTGGAATGGCCGGACAGAGGAGGTGACGTCGGACGGAGGGACTATGACAGTCGGTAGAAATGACGAAGATGACGGATCGATCGGACAGATGGAGGCGATACAGCGGTGCAATGGACAGAATTGGTCGACGAAGGGTGTATGGTTTATCGCGAGTGGGAACGAAAGAGTTTAAACTTCGAAGGCTTCTGTTTCTGAAAAATGCTGAGTTTTATAAAATTTATAATACTTAAACATATATCAGCACTTTTTTTTTTGGAATAAAGAACTTTATATAAATCAAAAAGAGGAATATACAAGGGTATAAATGACCCCAACCACAAAACAACCAAAAAACCCACCTACTCTAAAAGTAATTGAGCTATATGATGTCTCATACTAGTATTAACCCACCCTCTATTAGCAAGGGTAGAAGTGACTAACTCTCTAACCTCCCAAAAATTCACCGTATTGCCAAAGACGACATTGTTGCGATACCTCCAAATTTCATGGATGGTTTCCGCTACAGAGCTACACAAAATGCACTTCCTCCAGCCTTTCCCTTTACAATGTGCGATTAACCACTCAAGTGCTTCACTGCAATCACAAGGGAAGTGTTGATATCCCAACCATACCAGAATCTGTTGCCAACAGGTTTTAAACGGTGGACAATCGAATAAAAGATGGTCCATTGTTTCCTCCTTGTCGCAGAATTTGCAGCTGTCATCAGTCGTAAGGCCAAGTCTTTTGAGCCGTCCTCTTGTCGCAAGTCGACGGTGGCAAGCCATCCACATAGTAAAATAGGCTCTCGGTATAGCAATATTGTTGGATAACATATGTTTCCACCCAACATCAGGATCATCCTTCTTGAGGTACTGATACACCTTTCCCACCGAGTATTTCGTCGTCATTCCGTTCCAATCATCCATGCCATAAATGATAATTCTATGTCTAAGAATAGCTTTTACAATCCAAGACATGCCCTGTTTTTCCTGGATCTGCATAATAGCTGTTGTTTTGAAGTAAAACGTGTGGATCCATTTCACCCAAAGAGAATCCTTTTTGTTGCAAAGGTTCCACACCAGCTTTATTAAATAGGCCGCGTTCCAATCTGATAAATCCATCACATCCAGACCTCGCTTTCTCCGCGGCTTACAGAGCATTTTCCACACAATTGGGGATTTTCTCGACTTCTCCTTGCTGCCTGTCCACAAAAACGTCCTGCAAATAGAGTTAATGGTTTTAATCACATGCTTGGGAAAGGGAAGGCAACTCATCCAGTATGCAGCCATAGCAGTAATAGTGCTATTGATTCAGCTGAAGTCTTCCCGCATAGCTCAGTAACTTGGAACTCCAATGACGAATCTGGCTTACAATTTTGTCCACCAAACTCATATAATGATGCGTTGCAAGCCGTTTACAAGTGAGAGGAACACCCAGGTACCAAAAAGGTAAATCCCCTTCCAAAAATGACGTAGAAGCCAAGATGTCGCTTTTGGTCTCAACATTCACCCCCCCCCCCCCCCCCCCCCCGAAGTACACCCTACACTTAGCAGGGTTAACCACCAAACCAGTGGGCTGGGAGAACGTTTGCAATTGGTCCATAAGTAACTGAACAGATTTGTTGTCCCCACGGGTAAATAGAAGAACATTATCCGCAAAGCTAAGATCAATAATCTGCAGCTTTTCACACTTAGCATGAAAGTTGTAGTTAGGGACTTTGCTTAACTGGTGCAAGAGCCTATGGAAATACTCCATAGTTAGAACAAACAGCAGCGGGGAAATAGGGTCACCTTGTCTAAGGCCCCTTTTCGCCTTCATGCTTCTAGTGACACTGCCAGCAACATTGAACTTTTACGACAATGTTGACACCGCCAGCATAATCCATTTGGTGAAATTGTGAGGGAAACCAAATTCCTTGAGAATACACTCAAGAGCATACCAGTCCAGGGTATCATAGGCTTTTTAGATGTCAAGCTGTAACAGACATCTGGGAGTACCACCCTTTCTGCTATAGCCTTGGATTAACTCGTACGCTAAAAAAATATGATCATGGATGTTCTGTCCAGGAATAAAGGTAGCTTGGCTTTGAATGACAATACAGGTAATAACCTTGCTCAACCTTCTGGTCAAGATCTTTGAAATGATTTTGTAGAGAGTAGTACAGCAGGATATCGGTCGAAAGTCCTTCATACAGTTCCCACCATTACCTTTAGGAATCAAGGATACAAGAGTACAATTGACATCAGGGTACATCTTGAAATTGATGAAGAAATCCATCACTGCAGCAACGGTATCCTTTTTAATGATACTCCATGAAGCTTTGAAAATTTTTTCCCCAAAACCATCAACACCAGGGGCTTTCAGGTCACCAATGTCTTGAAGGGCACTATGAATTTCAGCTTCAGTGGGGGGGGGGGGGGGGGGGGGGGGGGGCAAACCAACATATCTTTCTGATCACTGGTAATTTGAGGGCCATCTCTTATAGCAGACAGGTTTATGCCTTCCAGGGCATTATTAGGACATCCCATGAGTCTGCCATAAAAGGACAACACCTCATTCTCAATATCCTCAGCCTTGGTAATCCTTTCACCTGTCATAGAACACAGCTCAATAACAGCACCACTGGTTTGTCTCGATTTAACCTGGGCATGAAAAAACCTGTTGTTGCCATCTCCCAGTCTGAGCCAACTGATTTTAGATCTCTGCCTAAGCACATGTTCCTCAATTTCACTCCAATAACATACCTCAGCTGATCTCTAAGGTCTGCCTTAGGTAGGACCTATAGCAGCGCTTTTATAAAAGTGCTTTCTTTTATACCCCATTTAGCAGCGCTTTACAAAAATCGCTTTCTTTTATTGTCACCTTTAGCAGCGCTTTTAGAAAGCACTTTCGTAGGTTACCCATATAGCAGCGCTTTCTCAAAGGGCTTTTGAAGGTCACCTATTTAGCAGCGCTTTTTCAAAGCGATTTCGTAGATCCCCCATTTAGCAGGGCTTTTTATAAAGCGCTTTCTTTTGTAACACAAAACTACCACCTTTAGCAGCGCTTTTCTAAAAGCGCTGTCTAAAGTCAACTCTTTTTTTTCTTTTTTTTTCCTTCCTCTTTAGGAGCGCTTTGACATAAAGCGCTGTCTTTTCTGTGCTGTCAAAATCACTTTTGGCGTAAATATTTCCAACTTATAAGAATTAGCATCAACATAATCAAAGTGTAGAATCCTAAATAAGCTAAAATCATTTCTTACAAAATAAAATATGTTCAAAAGGTTGTAATTAAAAAAACCAAGATTAAAGATATCAAAGTCATCACTCATCATACAAAAAAGAGCCAAAAAAATAGTCACACAATAACCTATATTTTTGTGGATTGGATTTGGGTTTACCTATAACCCAATTATTTAAAAGAATTTCTTATTGCACCCTATATACTTCTAACACAACATGTGAATTTTCACATATACTCTCTGATTCTGAAGATACATCTCTGGACGCACCTCACTTTTGAATAAACATTGATATATTCTGGAGATATATATCCGGAACAATTTTAAACATTTAGAACATGTCACCCATATATCATTTACATTTGAATTGTTCTAGAGATGCATCTCCGGTAATATTCCAGAGATACATCTCCGAAGTGTATCAGAACATATTTTGTTATAACAAGCTGTGTATTTTTTTTCATATGAAGTATGAAGCACGAAAAACAGACGTACAAAATAAGAAAACACAAATACTGCGTGTGTCAAAAATAAGATAGTAATAAAATAGTAAAATTTTGTACAACACGATATCCAAAATATAGCAACAATGATAGAAATAAAGTACAAACTATAGCACTACATCAAAATAATAACAGGCTACTACTGAGTGTGCCTGAAAACCTCTCCTCTACTCATCTACCTCCTCACTCATTAATCCCCTGTCCTCCGATGATGTCTCCGATACAACAGTGCTCGCTGTGCCTCCGCCACCATGGTATCCAAGACTCGCCTGACATCAGATCCCTCAGTGAAGATACCCTCGTCAATTCATGCCCGCGTAATCTCCACTAAATAAAGATATCTAGGTAAGACATCCTCAGTGTGATTTAGATGAGTCTGCTCCTCCTCTAGTATCTCCTTGTGAGCAGGTGTCGGCGGATCTCTTGGAGTAGTCTGGACCATGTAAAGGTGTGACAACCTGAAGAACCATATAATGTACCCCTCTACGTAGCTCCAACCATTCGGCGCTTTGGTAGCACACGCCTCCTCCTGAACCAAGTGACTCTCATAATTAGAAAACATATCCTCAATCTGTCTACGAGACAAGGCAAGAGAAGCAAAGACAACAGGGTGTTTGGGGATGGTCTGGGTGTACCCGAACTTCCACATGACGCGCTCGGGCAGATGCGAAGCAGTGATACGTGATCCATAGTTAAGACATTATGAGTATAGTGTTATGTCGTTAAATGGCTGCCTCTTACGGTGATCCACGTAGTTGTTGAAGTGGATGTCCTCACCAACCAAACGGTCAAGGTAGACTCTAAAAGGTTTAAATGTAGTTAATGGGATTCAAAACGTGTTTCCTAATAACTATGTTACCTCGGTTTTACCTAATAGTCTTCAGTACTAACACACTTAGAGTGTTATTAATTATATAATAGAGGTATGAAAGAGAGGAAGGGTGAGAGAGAAGTTGAAAAGAGATTGATAACTTCTCATGATTGGTAAATAGAGAAGCTGGAACGAGACTTTATAGCTAAGGTTGTACATGAGTAGGTTTAGGTTGAATTTTGGAAAAACCATGACCCTACCCATACATGATATATTGGTTTAGGTGAGGTAAAATAACCGTCCATAACATTATTAGCTCGGTTTTGGTAAAACCATAAATTTGTGGGTTGGATTGGATTGGATAATGGGTTACCCAATTTTCTTTCCCTTTTTCTTTCTTATATAACTATAAATGATGTGTCACATTTTTTTAGTAAATATTTTAACCTATTACCCCTATTTTTTTAAGCATCAAATGCCTAATTCCACGATAAAATTCATCATAAATATATTTGCAAAAATCAAAGTCCTATTATTGTAATATCTAGAATTGCATAAAATATTTCTAACTTATAAGAATTAGAATCAACATAATAAAAGTGTAGAATCCTAAATAAGTTAAAATCATTTCTTATAAAATAAAATATGTTCAAAAGGTTGTAATTAAAAAAATCAAGATTAAAGATACCAAAGTCATCACTCATCAAATAAAAAGGAGCCAAAAAAATAGTCACACAATAACCTATATTTTTGTGGATTAGATTTGGGTTTACCTATAACCTAATTATTTTAGAGAATTTCTTATTGCACCCTATATACTTCTAGAACAACATATGAATTTTCACATATACCCTCTGATTCCGGAGATACATCTCTGGACGCACCTCATTTTTGAATAAACATTGACATATTCTAGAGATATATCTCCGAAACAATTTTAAACATTTAAAACATGTCACCCATATCGCATTTAAATTTGAATTGTTCTAGAGATGCATCTCCGATAATATTTCAGAGATACATCTCTGAAGTGTATCAAAATATATTTTTTTATAACAAGTTCTGTATTTGTTTTCATATGAAGTATGAACCACGAAAAATAGACTTACAAAATAATAAAACACTAATATTGTGTGTGTCAAAAATAAGATAACAATAAAATAGTAAAATGTCGTACAACACGACATCTAAAATATAGCAACAATGTTATAAATAAAGTACAAACTATAACACTACATCAAAATAATAACAGGCTACTACTGGGTGTGCCTGACAACCTCTCCTCTACTCATCTACCTCTTCTACCTCTTCTGCCTCCTCGCCCATTAATTCCCCGTCCTCCGAAGATGTCTCCGGTACAATAGTGCTCGATGTGCCTTTGCCACCATCGCATCCAGGACTCGCCTGACATCAGACCCCTCAGTGAAGATACCCTCGTCAATTCATGCCCGCGTAATCTCCAATACGTGACGATATCTAGGTAAGACATCCTCAGTGTGATTTAGATGAGTCTGCTCCTCCTCTAGTATCTCCTTGTGAGCAGGTCTCAACGGATCTCCTAGAGAAGTCTGGACCATGTAAAGGTTGGACACCCTGAAGAACCATATGACGTACCCCTTTACGTAGCTCCAATAATTCGGAGCTTTGGTAGAACACACCTCCTCCTGAACCAAGTGACTCTCATAATTAGAAAACATATCCTCTATCTGTCTACAAGACAAGACAAGAGAAGCAAAGACAGGAGGGTGTTTGGGGATGGTCCGGGTGTACCCGAACTGCCACATGACGTGTCCGGGAAGATGAGAAGCAGTGATACATGATCCGTAGGTAAGCCATCCGGAGTATAGTGTTATGTCGTTAAATGGCTGCCTCTAACGGTGATCCACGTAGTTGTTAAAGTGGATGTCCTCACCAACCAAACGGTCAAGGTAGACTCTAAAAGGCTTAGATGTAGTTACTGGGATTCAAACTGTGTTTCCTAATAGCTATGTTACCTCGGTTTTTCCTAATAGTCTTAAGTACTAACACACTTAGAAAGTTATTAACTATATAATAGAGGTATGAAAGAGAGAAAGGGTGAGAGAGAAGTTGAAAAGAGATTGATAATTTCTCATGATTGGTAAATAGAGAAGTTGGAACGAGACTTTGTAGCTAAGGTTGTACATGAGTAGGTTTAGGTTGAATTTTGGAAAAACCATGACCCTACCCATACATGATATAT